AAAAAAAAAATTATGTTGTTACATATTCTGCCTGTTACGGATTGGGTTTCTTCCGTTCTAAATCATCAAGCCAAGAATCTCCTCAAACATAATTAATTACCACATTTTTTTTTATGAAACTAATTACCAAATTTATGTAACACATAAAAGCCTGAAACATAACTTCATCCCATTTTGCCAATCACCAACATATATTCCCTTTATAAAAGCAGAAACCCCCAAAGCACTCCATTCCAAAACCAGCCAATTCCTTAATCAACCATGAAGTTTGAAGATCAGCAGCAGCACCGGCAGCAGCCATCGATTGTCAAGCTTTTGAAGTTTCAATACAACAGCTTCCTCTCATGTCTTCTCTTCCTCGTCCTTGGCATAGGCCTTGGATTCTACCTCAGTTCCTACCTCAAAGAAATCACCTTCAATTTACAACTCAACCAGCTCTCTTTCCTTCCTCCTCTCTCCAAATCAACACCTCCTCCTCCAACCTCCATTTCAGGCCAACCGCCACCACCCTTCATTTCAGATCAACCGCCACTCTCCATTTCAGACCAACAAGAGGAAACGGCCGCCTCTCTTATCCGCAAAATTTCATCTCCTTTCCTCGTTCCAAATTATACGAATTCGCAGAATTTTACCCAAAATTGGCTCAAGGAATTTCTGAGACCCCCTAAAGTTATGCACGATATGGAAGATGAGGAGTTGTTATGGAGAGCTTCGATGGTTCCACGGATCAAAGAGTATCCATTCAAGCGTGTTCCCAAGGTTGCATTCTTGTTCTTGACAAAGGGACCGATGATATTTGGTCCTCTGTGGGAAAGGTTCTTCCGAGGACACAGAGGGCTTTACTCCATCTATGTGCATTCTCATCCTTTCTTCAATGGAACGGTTCCCAAAAGGTCGGTTTTTTATGGCCGGAGAATCCCCAGTAAGGTTAGTTCACCGGAGCTTTTTGGATCTCCAGAACTTGTTTTACTTTTATTCCTCTCTATTTTACTAAGCCTCTTTTTGCTTTCCTTTTCTTTTTTTAAAAATTATTGTTCGAGTTTTTTTTTTTTCAAGAATCATGAATCTGACATCTACTTGACCAATTAGTACAAAAAAAATTAGGACAAAAGAATATCCATGGTTAAGAAATAGAATCGTTTTCTTCGTCTGTTTATTGAGGTAGCATTGATCTCAGCATTTCATTTATTGTTGGCTGTACGTTTTGAAGAAGGGTCTGCTTTTAATTTTAACACTAATATCAATTAAAATAACTTAAAAGCATATTAAATTTTATTATGTTTTAAAATCAAATAGTAAATAATCAAAATGGTGAATATATATAGAGATTAAGAAACTGTTTTCTTTCTTGGAATAAATAAATTAATGCAAGTAGTTTAATGCTGCATAGGAGTACATCTTATTATTATCATTATTTTATTAAAATAATTTATATTTTAGAATTACTAAGTGGGGAATCTTATACCAGTAGATCATTTGCAAAATTAATGGCTGGTCTCGGTGAGGGGATTCGTTGTATATATAAAATTAAGGAATATATAGTCAGGGGATTCGTTGTATATATAAAATTAAGGAATATATAGTCCGAGATGGGCTCTTCAATTAATTCGTTTGTTCTAATCAACCCTACCTACTAACCTCCGTCCCAATTAAGCTGTTTAGAATTAATTTGATTCCGAATAAACTCATCCACTACACAACTGTTGCATTTAAAACAGAAGTTAAGAAAAAGAGTCACGTGTGACTACATAGGTTTCTCAAATCCTCTCTTTCACTGTGATGTTCAGACCCCTTGTCTAATTCGATGCTTTTTAATTAATTAATTATTATTATTATTATTTTTTTTGTGTAGTACTCTTAGAGATTGAATCTTAGATTTGAAACTTAGAGTATAAAAAAAACAACTCTATTACTAGATGACTCTGCTAATGTTTTTGCATGAATTCTACTACTTTTGTGAATTCTCTTTCTTCTCTAGGTTTTTGTTTAAACAAATCATTATTCTTCTTTACTCATTACTTTTATGCATTGCAAAGTTAATAATAAAATACCAAAATTTGTCAATCAAAATCACACATCAAAAACTATAACAAAGGGAAAGTTATTTTTGCCTTTATTAAGTTTAACAATTGCTCAATGAAGAGGCTTAAATGGTCTTAAAATTACTTTAAGGGGTTTATATAAGACAAAAAGTTGGTAATAGGTCTTGATTAGAACAAATGACTTAATTGAGGGACTAATCCTAGAGTTATCCTTTATAAATAAAATATAAAACGTGCTACAGCCTGCAGGATACGTATCAGCCAAACAGTTAAGAAATTAAGCATTATGGTAAAGTTTAATTTAATTGAAATGCTTAAGTAGGTAAAGTGAGATTTGGATCAAATATAAGGCTGTCCCTTGAGAATTGATAACTATAAAGAATAATCCTACGGATCTTATTGTTTATATTAAGCTCATTTTAAAATTTTGACTTGTTAGTTTTTGTTCCTTGTATGAATAATTTTGATTCATCTAAAAAAAAGCCTTTGTTCCTTGTAGATCCAAAGCAAATCATTTTCTATTTTTGTTGAGTATTGTCTTGTCTGTTCTGCACCAGTCCTGTACCCAAAATTCCTGGGGAAAGCCTGTCTACATAAACCTGCAAAAATGTTAGAAAATCCTTTTAGCTAATGAAGTCTTGACTTGTCTTGATGGATTACTAGGGATATATTGTCATATGTAACAAGAAACGATGTTTAACATATGACAAGACCAGCGTCCACATTTCATTCCTTAATTAGATTCATACTTTTGTTAAGCTTTGCTCCTAAAAATTGTTTCTACTTCTTGAACATGAAGCTCTAATCTAAAATTAAATAATATATAGAAAATCTTCAGTAATTACATTTAAAACTTAGGTTTTAATATCAATTATGAGATCTGTTAGTAAAGATTAATGTGTTATTAATCATAAGTTAAATATTTAATATTTAATTCTTACATGAAAAATAAAATTATATTTATTTATTTATTTGATGTAGAGTAGAAAAAGTTCTTAATTAGATGTTGAAGTATCCTTGTTGAATATTATAACATCAAGCTTTTGTTTGACTATAAAAACAAAATCATGTTCCCGTTTCTTTCTTTGCATAGTTTGAAGTCAATTAATTCATTTGATCGGATCTTCTTGGTTCAAATGCGACAATCAAATTAGTTAATAGTCATTGAATAAGTCACACCATTATAAATTTTTGCTATGAAGACTTGATTTTCTAGTCTAAATGCTCCCATCATCAATAATTTCACAATCCCAGAAAATATTTTTTTCTTAGAAAGAAAGAATTTCTCTTAGGAAATTTTCTAATCAATTGAAACAGACTGAATGTCGATATCATAATATAGAAAATTCCAGGTAGTTCCCCAGTCGTGTCATGAGGTTTCACATTCTAAATGAAGTGCCCAATACGAAAAGTACTCAAGATCCGTTCTAGGGACACTTGGACATGTTGATTCTTACAGTAGCCTTCAAGTTACCAGAGTTGGATTCTTTAATTTAGGTACCATAATTAATGTTTTTCTCTTGATACCAGTTATGTATATGTAGTATTATGAGTCAATTTTCGCATACCATACTAGTTTATATTGAGTCTATCAATACCTTAAATTACAACTTAAATACTTCATTTAATATGTTTATTTATTTTGGAATTAACTATTAATGATAATAATCCTTTAACATTGCAGGATGTGAGATGGGGCGACATGAACATGGTGGAGGCAGAGCGCCGCCTGTTAGCAAATGGTTTGCTTGATATCTCAAACGAACGCTTCGTTCTCCTTTCAGAATCATGCATTCCCCTTTTTAATTTCTCTACCATCTACAACTACCTTGTAAACTCCCTTGAAACCTTCGTGGAGTCTTATGATTTACCCGGTGGGGTAGGACGGGGCCGATACCACCGTAGAATGAGACCCCAAATTACCTTAGAGGATTGGCGGAAGGGCTCCCAATGGTTTGAGATGGACCGGTTCCTTGCCCTAGAAGTAATCGCCGACCGGACATATTTCCCGGTGTTTCGCCGGTTTTGCAGGGGTTCATGTTACGGGGACGAGCATTACTTGCCTACTTTTGTTACTATGAAATTTTGGAACAGAAATTCCAACCGGAGTTTGACTTACGTTGATTGGTCCAAGCGCGGGCCGCATCCGGCTAGCTTTCAGAGGACCGATGTGACGGTTGAATTTTTGGAAAGGCTAAGGAATGCTACAACATGTGAATATAATGGGCACATAACTAACGTTTGCTTCTTATTTGCAAGGAAGTTTCTCCCTAATGCTTTGGATAGGCTGTTGAAATTTGCCTCACCCGTTTTGAAATTTTAGTATTTTTCTTGTAAAGTTTTTGGTTTGATCATTCATTTTCTCCTTCAATTTCAAGTTTAAATCTTGAAATAAGTGAGGAGAGATTTGGAGAATAAAAAGAATATCTCCTATCAAATAATCATTCATAAGATATACAAAAAAATTGAAGTATTATATATTTATGTATACTCAACATGCTATAAATAATACTCGGTTTTATTTCTCTTCTACAAAATGTTTGTTATACCTTAAAGGATGGCTAATTTGGTTAAGTGTTTGACATTTCAAAAAGAGGTTTGTTACCCAAAATTTTTATATACTATATTTATATAAGATCTTAATTATTTATTTTTTTACTTTTAATAGTTGAGATTTATTCACATTTATTAAAAATAATTATTTTTTATCTAAAAAGTTATAAAACTCAATCATTAAAAATAAAAAGATAAACCGTTAAAATTTTATATAATTAAAATATGTTAGACTTATATATAAAATTTATGTGCAAATAATTCCATCTTCTTATTAAATATATATTTTTGTGTTTTTGTTTCAAAATAATTTTTGAAAAAAGAAACTGAAATATGAAAAGCAGAAAACTTAGGATGCATTTGGGATTGCTATAAAATACTGTGGTTGTACCGAATTGTGTTATACTATAACTGTGACTTAAAGTTACTATGATGTTTGATTATTTATTTTTTAAAAGTATTATACATGAAACATGATAGATTTTATTAATTATTAATTAAAATTTAAAAATATTATAAGATATATAATTATTAAAATAGATAATATGTATTATTTTTTAAGAATTTAAGTTTTTTAATTTGTTATCATTGTTAAAATATTATAAATTATGATGTAACTAAATTATACAAATTGAGTTTTAATGAGTAATTTTATAATAATATTAAGAGAATAGTATTTATCCGTCTTATCTCCTAAAAATTAGGATGAAAATTATTCCAAAACAACGTCATTTTAATAAATCTTCATTGAAAAAGATTAAAATACCATATTTTTAAAGCATGAATTAGAGTGTTTTTTACCTTTTCATACAGTACTTTATTAAAACTACGTAGTTTTAAAATAATTTTCTCATAATCTTTAAGAGGTAAGATGGATAAGCATTAATTTTTTATATTAAATATTATATATTCTCTGTAAAAACTATAGACAAAAAGTTTCAAAGTAAGACTTATGGTATTGTACATAAAATTACTGTAAATCTACTGTAACTTTTTACAACTTTTAAAAAATATAATTTAAAAAAATTATTAAACACATATATACTTAAAAATATTATATAGTTACACAAAAATACTCCTAACTGTAATACCAAAAGACATCCTTAAACAATAATAAGTTAATAACCGTCTTAAATCTGGGGCTTTTAGCCTTTAACGTCAACCTGGTATTGGATGGGCTTTGAAGATCCAAAATTAATTGGGCATCAAGCCCCATTTTTACGTTTAATAAAAATTGGGCCTTTGATTGGGTTTTAAACTGGTCTAAGTATTAGGGCCCTAATTCGGCCGACGCAACGAAACAGGTCGGATCCTTCTCAGAAATGAAGAACCACTGACAATTTTCACACAGTGTGGACAAATCAATACACCCTACCCAACATTTTTCTTTTATAATAACCTCACTTTTTACATGTATATCAGTAGTATTATTTTGATAATTTATATTTTATATGCTTAAAGTATGCTTAGTTTGAAAAAAACATAGACGAGAAATAATTTTTTTGACCAATTATATTTTAATATTGACCAATGTTATTATAATTTAATTAAAAAAAAAAATCACCAATCCAGCCCTCCAATCCCCTTTCCTTTCCTCATATATGCATATTTTTTTTTGGAATTGAATAATCCTGGGTTCACACCGTTTTAATTGTTGGATTAATGTTGATCCAAGGGTCCACAAACCCTTATATAAATATATTTAAAGGAAAAAAAAACACGGGTGATCGAGCGATTTGGATTGACTTGGGGCAAGGAGTTGACGTCAAAGTCCTAGCAACATGCTATTTCTCTTGCCCCGATGTTTCCTCAATCATTCCAAGAAGCTTCTTTTTATTTTATTTTATGCCCTTTATAACCATCATTTTGGACCTTCATTTTCCCCAAAACCCTAATCCCATTTCCCTATCTCTTTCTCACTCTTTCTTAACTTGTCTCTGTTACTAAGTTTGGATATCCAGAAATGGCAGCTAAAAGGCTTTCCAATGAATTCGGTGCCGACCCGGACGAGCCAGAGGATAAACGAATGAGAACCACGCCTACTTTTGCCTCGTAAGTACTCTTGATCTAATCTTTCATCTATGCTATATATATGTTCTTGTAATTTTAGTTTAATCACAGAATATTTTTCCCTTTCTTGCTAAATCTGCCTAAAGTTGCTGGCTTTTATATTAGTAAAATTAAAGGTTTTTTTCTTGTTTTTTGAAAAATGAATCATGTATGTCTTACTTTTTATGGTGCAATTACCTAATTATTACTTATTAAATGAATCTTAACATGCGATATTCATTTTGCCTTTGATGCTGACAGTGTAATTGGAGAAGTGATGAAGGGGAACTACTTACAGAATCTCTGCTCAGTCTTGGAACCTGTCCTTAGAAGAGTGGTATGTCTTAAGACTCATTCATAAAACAAAAATATTTCATTTCATTTCATACAACTTATAATTAAAAACTAATGTATATATATAACCAATGACTTAAATTGTTTAGTTATAGAGAATTGCATGCTTGTGGTCATTATGCCATTCAGTATAAAAGAAAAAGAGAAGAATAAACGTGCATCTCCAACATGATTGAATATATCTTTGCTATAAAATAGTATCTTAAGGTGTAGAAAGTATATATCACATGATGAGAAATAAAAGATTGTGTTATTGATCCACACTAAGAATTAATTAGGACTGGTCAAATTAGAGATGAGTTATATGTTGTGTCATAATTACAGATTTAAAAGTTGATTTAGATTTTTTTTTTTTCTGCTATACATTTCTCATGAAATTAATTAAGGCCTCGTTTATATATATGTTTTAATTTTAGGTTCATGAAGAAGTGGAGCGTGGTGTGCAACACCGTCTCTTATCTTTCAGCCGGTCGCCGTCGCTCCGAATCCAAGGGCCGGAACCCTCCACCCTTCAACTAATTTTCAGCAACAAACTTTCCCTACCCATCTTCACCGGAACCAAGATCACAGACATAGACAACAACCCTCTCCAAATCCTCCTAGTAGACACAAGAACCCCCTTAGCTCCGGTAACCCTCCCCAACCCAGTCAAAGTCGACATCGTTGTCCTTGACGGGGACTTCCCCCTAGGAGACCGTGACGATTGGAGTAGTGAGGAGTTTGAGAGTAAAATGGTGAGGGAGAGGACTGGAAAGCGCCCTCTCCTTGCCGGTGAATTGATGGTCACGGTGAGGGACGGGGTTGCGTCGGTGGGAGATATTGAATTCACCGATAATTCGAGCTGGATTCGGAGCCGGAAGTTCAGAATTGGGGCTAAAGTTGCACGAGGGAGCTTTCCGGATGTGCGCGTCCGCGAAGCCATGACTGAAGCTTTCGTTGTCAAGGACCACCGTGGGGAATGTAAGTTCCATACTTCATTTTTTTAGTTCTTATTTTGCACTTAATTTCACGCATAATTTCTTGCTGTGGTTATAGACTCACATAAGTTTTTTTAAGGCCAAATGAAATTTATTTATAGGATTTACAAAAATTGATTTTATTTGATTTCATTGTTAAAAGTATTTACTGATTGATACAAGCTTAACATAACATACTGAAAGAAACTTATAAATTAATATTTTTAGACGTTATCATTAATTATTAAAAAATTATAAACATATAACATATCAAGAAAATCAAATAATAATGTTGTAACATGTAAGTAGTGTAGTCTTAATAAATTTAGTGTGGCCATAATCACACCATGACTTCTTACATGAGTATATGTGTTTCCTTTTTGTGATTTAATTTAAGGATAAATAGTTACTAAAATTAAATTATTTGATAATAGCCCTTCTATTTAACTTTAATTGTCCTGCTATCTCCATTCAATTTTAATAGATATACTTTTTTTAATAAAATAGACATGTAATAATTGATAAAGTTTTATATTTATCCCTAATTGTCCACAGCTTCAATAAAACTACATATTGTAATTGCGTTGTGGTTATCTTATTATAAAACAAAGTTAAAATAAAAATAAACACATTAGATGAAATGACATCTTAAAATAAAAAGTGATCAACTAAATTTAAATACCCCAAATAAAAAATATGACCATTAAAGTTAAAGGAATGAAGTTCTTTTTAATTAGAGGTATTTAAAATTAGCTTTTATTCTCTCTAATTAGAAGTGAATGTGAATTAGAAGTGTCATTTAAATTTTTTATTCCTATTTTACACTTAAATATTTAAATAAACACATCTATTTAAAGTATAATAATTATGGATAAATATTAATTTTTATTAATTAATTATTATATCTCTATTTTATATATATAAAAAAAACTAAGGTTATGTTTAACAATTTTTAAGTTTTAAGTTTTTATTTTTCATATATTTTATAACTATTATTATATTTAAAAATCAAATTTTACTATAAAAATTTGAATTAATTTCATTTAATTTAATTTAATGATAATACTAATTACTAAGTATATAAAAATTAAAAACTTAAAACCAAAACTATACTAAATAAAGTTTAGGTCAATTAAAGTTAAATAGATGAAGTATTATTTATAACTTTAGAAAAAAAAATTTTCTTTTGGCAATACATATGACTTGCAGTTTAAGCAATGAAATTATTTAAATAATCTTATTAAATAAAATATTTTAAAACTTTTACAATTCAAATTACATATACAATAATAACAGTCTTAAAAAAAAAAATGAACATTCTTGGGACAAAGAGCAAATAGTCATTTTGACTGGTCAATTGGACCGAATTATAGGACTGGTCCAGTCAAAATTTAGGTTTAAGATCATTCAACAGTCCTGGTCCTTTTCTATATTAAAAAAAATAGAATTGGTCTTTTGGGGATTGAAATTTGAACCGTAACTGGTCATCATGTAATAGACCAAGCATAGATAATAGGAACCAGGCTCCAGATTAGAATTGGAATCTGTTCTGAAACTGGGTCACTTTATTCTCAACCACAATATCTAATTGAATCAAGAACATTCAAATTCGTTGATACCAAAAACCCTACGTTAGGGTTAGGCACCAATCAAAATTGAAACCGAACCAGCTTTGGTGGCCATGTCTAAGGACAAAGACCAAATGATTGCGCATGGTTCGCCGCCACTATACCCGTGCATGTCTTGCCGCCACCATACTAGTTGTTGTACTTGCATTTAATTTTATATTCAACACTTTGGATTAATTATTTAAAAGTTTTATCTAATTTATTTTTTAAAGATATAATTAAAAATATAATAAACATATTTTTTATAATTGATTTATATAAAATTATAAAAATTAATATTTATTTTAATACCATCAATACATAAATAATTTTAATTAATTTATTTAAAATTAAAAATTATTTTTTATATAAATTAATTATAAAAGAATGAATTAATTATATCTTTTAAATTTTAATTGGTTAGAAAAACCCTCCTTTAAATTGCGGTAAATGTTGGGTTGGTAATTGAAATTGAAAACTCAAATCTTTTTATTTTTTATTTTTTCCAATTCTCAAGTAAATCCCTTTAAATCAGATTTATGATAGCAATGCTAACCAAACATAGATGACTTCGGAGGGAGATACTATTTGTAAGTAAATATTGTTGTAGATCAGGTCTAAGATTTAAAGAATACTTGCTGCACTTCTTAGCTTCCGATACTTGGACATTTAAGTGTTGGTGGCAACAGGTACGTTAGGGTTTAATTTTAAGAAATTAATTGTTTTGTGCATCTCATCATGTGGCAACATGTGGTACTGCTTCATCTCCCATTTAAGTGGCCAAGTAGGAATAGCTGCTAAGTGCATGTAGTACTCCACCTGAGATTTTAATTTTGAAATTATTATTTAAAAAAATTAATTTATGTAAATGCATTAATTAATTAAAAATACATGCAGAAATAAAAATACCATAATAGTAAAAAAGAAAAACATACATTGGGTCAAACCCTCCGTTGTGACCAAAAGAAAATAACCATATTAATCAAATTAGTTTTGGAAAGAGGGACATTTTAAATGTATTAGTTGCAAGTACATGCATCATTCTGCTTGACCATGTCTATTTAAGATAAAGAAATTTAACTTTCATATAAATAAAGGTTAAATTAATGAAATTTTCATGGCTAATTAATGTGTATGAAATTAAAATAAATTTATTGAATTTTTCTAATATGTGTTTTAAGAATATAGATTAAAAGTGTATTTATTTTATTTTTTAATTAATTAAGAATTAAAAAAAAGAAGATATTATGATACTTAAAATATTAAGAATGATAATAAAAAAATTAAAATAACTTTAATAAAATCAACTCGGAAAACAATTTATTAATGATATTTAAATAATTTCATAAGATATTCTAGTGTTTAAAGGATCAGACATCTAAATTTTTTTATTAATTAACTTAAAAAATAAAAATAAAAATTAATTTTAATAGCTATATAATTAAATTTATTTAAATAGCAAACATGTTAAATTAATGTTAATTATTTTTTTATTAAATTAAAATAAAAATCTACAATAAATGTATCTTTTACTTGTATTTTAAAAATACAAGTTAGAGAAACCCAAACTTAATTTCGGATGCAAGCTGATCATTAAAATTGAATATTGAAAAAAGTTAAAAACATTAACTGTTGTATGCATATTGAGTATGTATGTTGGCATCGTAGGAGGAGGTCCTAGCTAATTACCTCCATCTCTCTAAAATTTCTCACTTTTTTCATTTTTAATAACCAAAATTGCTCTCACTTAAGCTTTAAAGTCCCCAAAAGTATGATAATTAGGATATGGACATGGAGATCTTCGGTTTAATTACTCGTATAAATACTTATGAATTATCATATATATAAGTATAAACCAACAAGCATCACTATTTACCAAAAGATTTTGACTCACACAATTTTTTTTGGGACGTGTGTGGTGAGTAGTGATTAAAGCCCCACATTTGGATAAAACGATTATATTATTTTCCTTGAGAGAAAAGTAGGGTCTAAGGGGTAATGGCCACACATATGCAATGTACACCATATTGTGGGGTGGGGCACCTGCCTGTCAACTTCCAATTAAGTTACTTTCAGTCAACAAAGTGCTGCTCTCTTTTGCTTCCCCAGCAATATAATACTACTTAGCCTCTGTGTGTGTGTGTTTTTTTTTTTTGCTAATTAAAAACTTAAATTTTTGTTTGTTGATTCTCTTTCTTTCTCATTTGAAAGTGTACAGGAAACATCATCCCCCAAAGCTGGAAGATGAGGTATGGCGTCTGGAGAAGATTGGGAAAGAAGGGGCATTCCACAAGAAGCTGGCCTCTGAGGGAATTAACACTGTCCAAGACTTCTTGAAATTATCAGTTGTCGATCACACAAAGCTTAGAAAAGTATGCCTTAATTAAAATTTCCAACTATTTCCATTTCTTGTCACCATTCAAATTTCAATCAAAGTAATGCATTTTAATTAATTTATTTGATTGTTTGAACAGATTTTAGGCCCTGGAATGTCCGAGAAGATGTGGGAGGTGACTATCAAACACGCAAGAACATGCGATATAGGAAACAAATTTTACATTTTTCGTGGACCAAATTATACCATCATCTTAAATCCAATATGCCAACTCATCAGGGCTGTGATTAATAATCACACGTATTGTTCTCGTGAAATAACAAATATCAATAAGGTATGTGTTCTAAGCATTCACTCTATTTATTTAGGACTTAAATTCAATGTCTTTTTTTTTTTTTTATTAAGTAATCAAATATTATAATAAACAAAGCAAAAAAAGAGTACTCCAAACCTATTTACACTAAAGAGTGATAAAATATAATTATTTTATAAACAAAATTCCCCAAAATTATGTCTAGGACCAACTAGTTACTCTCAAGATATCTAATTTATAAGAAGCTCTTATCTATTAAAGACATCTTTTAGTAGGTTTATTACATGCAATCTTTAATATAGTATTTTAGAGCTTTCTATCTTATAATGTGTGGAATTTGCAGGCCTATGTTGAAAATTTGGTAAGACAAGCGTATGCAAGTTGGCGTTTCTTGGAAGAGGTGGAAGGGGTTTGGAATGAGACTGCCTTGCTAACTCAAGGTAGGGACCTACTTTTCTCAACCAATTAGCATGACATTTGTTAGAAATTCCTTTCTAGTAAGTGAATAACATAACATATCTTGAAAATTTTAGGTGAAATGGTAGATCAATATCCCAATAACCAACAGTTGGTGGTGAGATCATTTCAGCAAAATGGCAACCCAACTGAAAAAATCATGACAGACAAGTACACAACAACCAATGCAGATTCAGGAAGAAGTAATTGGCAAGTGATTAATTCATCATACTTCAACACACAAATTGAAAACAGCATCCAATGTAGCATGAAGGAGTCGTCGTCAGACGATGATCTAACGTCTCGTAGGACCTTCATCAATGGCGGTACTTAATGGTGGAATTGTGGATCAATGTGTGTTTCTATTTTCTAGTGTTTGTAAATACAAGTGTAAGCAGCGAGTATGCTTAGATTTGGCTAAGTTGCCCATAAAAAAGTACTTGTTTGAAGGATGTAGGAAGTAGTAAGAATCTAATCTCTAAGTTAGGAGGAGTAATACTTCTTGTTTTTCTAGAAAAACAACAGTGGATGATAAGAGTATACCTGCATATGTCGTGCCAAAAGATGTATTCTCTACTCTGGCAAAACAGAGCGAGTCAGAACTGTGTACTTCTAATTTGGGCTTTCGTGAAGTCTTTGTCTTAAGACCTTGGAGCAGCCCAACTTCGATACAGATTGAGCAGCCCAACTTAAATCTCGGATAACATCCGTACCTACAATTTACAAGCACTTTTTCAGTAAAACCTATATTTAGCCCTTTATCTCATTAGATTATAAATTTTAACCTCTTACTTATTAGAATTAAAAAAAATAACCCTCACTTTATAATATTTCGTTAGTTTTGTTAATTGACTGTTAACTCTATTAGCTGAAGTAAGTTTTTATCAACTAATAATCAATTAACAGTCAGCTAATAGAATTAACAGTCAATTAACAAAATAGTTATATTAACTGACTATTAATACTGTTAGTTGAAAGTAGATTTTTATCAATTAACAGTCAACTAATAGAATTAATAGTTAACTAACAAAACTAACGAAATATTATAAGTGAAGGCTATTTTTTTCAATTCTAATAAGTGAAGGGTTAAAAAAGTCATAATATGGTGCGAGGGGTTAAAAATTATAAATTTAATAAGGTAAAACACTTTTTCAGGGGTAACTTTGCAGTTTTTAATTTAATTAATTAGATAATAAGGTATTTTATATAAAGGGGGATCCTGGGATATAGATAATTCAAGTCAAACCATAATTTAAAGATTATCTAATTTACCACTCCTTGAAATTGGTAAAGGTGAAGCTTTCAAGCCTAAAGGCAATTCAACAACTCATTTTCACCATGTTTTAGCTAAAAGACGATGAGGTGATAAGCTTTCGCCTCAAGGTATATTCTCCCTAAAAATAGCAAGGAGAGGAGTGCTAGTGAAACCCAAGAAACTCATGAAGATTCTTGCTCCGAGCACAATGGAGGAGAATTCATTCCAAAATTTCTTAATCATTTCCTTGATGTAGATGCTTTAACTTAACCCAACTTTGATTGGATATTTTATGTACTTTATGTTTAATTTATAAAATGTCCTATTTGCACAAAAAAAATAAAATAAAATAAAAAGAGAATTGTATGTGAGACGCCAACATGCATGGTAGTGTGGTGACTTTTTGAACTCACGAGTTTGTCAAAGTAATTTCCTATTCATTACTACGAGACTAAGCGCAATTAACTTGGACTAATGTTTAACTATTCTCTATCCTTACACATTGCTTGCTCCTATTTTGAAGGAATGCAATAATGGTATGAAAATATTATAGTTATAATATCATTGATATTATAAATTTATAATATGATATATTATTATATAATTAATTTTTTTATTTAATAATCTATAAATGATATTATATGTATTTATTTATTTAATATTACGTTATATTTATTTAATATTATCATATTTTACAAGTTAAACTGCATATTAAAAATTTAATTTGAATATTAAAACTATTAAATTATCATTAATAAAATAATATGTAAAATAACTTCATTAAAAATATTTTAATAAATTTATAAATTAAATTATATTTTTAATATATAATTTTAATCGTAAAATACTTTATACTTTGCAAAAATTAAGGTTATTATTATGCATCACCCGAGGAAACATCACTTACGAATTATGGAACAAGGCAGTAATACTAATAGATAGCTATTCCTCTTTTAATTTTTAGCCTACCCTACCCAATCCAATTGATTGTGCACTCGGCCTTCTGTTGGTTAAAGCTTCCCGGCCGCAAAGTGTTGGATTCTATCTCACAAAAACTGTACTTTTTGTTCGAAAAATAAATTAATTTTTTTTATAAGGGTAATGATTAAGAAGTTAATTTGAATTAGTTGTTAGTAATTGGAGATTCGATCTTCAGATTGGGTGAACATTTCACCCCCTCAAATAAAGCGCGCGACCTTCGAACCACATTTGGTGAAGTTCACGACGGTGGTGGAGCTTGAAGCTCGAACTACCTCACTCAAACACTTAAGTTTGACATCGAATCATTGGCTGTAAAAACTCGATTTAAAAAAAAAAAAAAAACTAATTTATTAGTTGCTCTACTGAGGATGAAAATCAAGGTCAACAGTCATCTCGAAAGTTATTCTACCACTTAGCTTTCAGTTTTCTTGGGGGGGTAATATAACGAATGAGTGATGACCAAGACTTTCCATCTGGCTTTAATGTAATTTCTTAACGTTCACCTCCTACCAATTCCTTTTCTGTTTTCCTCCATACAACTCCCACAAATGGAAATGCTTTCCCAACCCTTTTTTTCATCTACTTTTGTGTGCATCATCTCCGTCACCATCTTCTCCATCTTGCTCCTTCTCCCACCGTCATACAGTGATCCCTTGGATGAGTTCTCGGATTGTGACCATTCTGCTTCCTTCCATTGCGGAAGCCATGAAAGCTTTTACTATCCTTTTTGAAACGACAGTACTCCAAAGCATTGTCATCCGCTTGGATTCCACTTGACAGACTGCGAGAAAGAGGTTCCCACCATAGACTTTGGCCCAGATGGTTCATTCCACCTGCAGCACATAAACCCATCAAATTACAACAAATTGACGATTGCTCGAATGAATTTTAAGGCATATATTTGTCTCGAGACACCACAAAACAGAACTCTTCTGCCCCCTTTCTTGAAATTCTCCGAAACCAACAAAAACCTCACTCTGTTCTATAACTGTACTCCACCTGCTGAGGTACCCGATGAAAATAAGATTTCTAAGTGCGGCGCCGGATATAACAACATACTGTTCTACATGAATGATTCGGAGCGGGATGATCATCACAGAGAGCTGTACGAGTGCAGTACTGTGAAAGTTGTGGTTAATCAGATGGCTTTCAACAACTTCCAGGAGAGGAAACTGAGATTGTTCGATGCTTTGAGAGACGGTGGATTTGATGTAGAGTACAACAGTAATGAGGTTTATGAGATCAGTGTGAGAAATTAGGTGGCATATGCGAAAACAGTTCAAGTTCAGCTCAGTATCTACAAACAACATGCCAGCGTCGTCCAGGTCCAGGTATGGATTATCAATGCAAAATCATTTATTTTTAATTTAGTGTAGTGCTTACGGCTTAGGATTATTCTGTTTGGCATTTGCATTCAAAACTCTATTATTGAAGCTATAGCTACTTGGAAAAGTCATTACTTGACATTAATTTTTATGGTCTTCTTTGAACAGTCAACAAGATTTGTAGCTTTGGTTGACTAGAGCTCTAAAATTAACTCATGGGAAATTGATAGGAAAAGATTGAGAATAGGATTGGCAATGAGGAAAAATACTTGAGTGCATGCAATGGGATACTAAATCAATCCCTAATCTATAGAAACCTAACACATCATATAATTTAGAAGAAAACATAGCAAGCTTGTAACTCTCTTCCAATTTCCTTGAAAATGATAGTCCCATTGAATATCAGCTATCAAAAAGTAAAAAGAGAGTGGATTTGAATACAACTAAATTATTTGATTTTTTTTTTAATATCAACACAATTTATGTGATGAAAGCAAAATTAGAATGGATTTGAAAACACTAATCCTCCATATCCTGACTTGTAGTTAAATGGATTTGTTGAAATAATTTATCTGATCAAAGATAGAATTATTTTATTGCAGGAAGGCCTTTTGCTGTCAAAGACAGAATTCTACATATAGGTATGCATACATGATCAACATTCTAATGATACATGATTTGGTTCAAATAGTTTGCCTATTTCTTATAGCCTTAAAATAATCCATGCATTATTACCTCATTAAACTTTAACAGACCTTATCACTATATGAATCTAGTAATGGTCTTAATTTTTATGTGGATATTGTTAAAATTATGTTAATTATAATCATAGTCTAAAAGAATAGTATTGCTACATATAGCTGGAGAAGAGTATACACACTTCAATTGACTTTTGACGATCTTGTTCTTTCTAAACAGCTATGGCTACAATAGTCATTGGAGTATTGCTAGCTTTTATCATTACAACTATTTTCAAGAGGATTAAAAGAATGGAAATTTTTAGGAAGGTAACAAAGAGTGAGCGTGATATTGAGGCTCTCATAAAAAATTATAGAACTTTAGCTCCTAAGAGATATAGCTTTTCAGATGTCAAGAAAATGGTCAATTCATATAAAAAAAAATTAGGTTGCGGTGGTTATGGAGATGTGTACGAAGGGAATCTACCAGATGGTTGTTTTGTAGCTATGAAGGTCCTTAACACATCCAAAGGGAATGGTGAAGAATTCATTAACGAAGTTGTAAGCATTAGTAGAACTTCTCATGTCAATGTTGTTACACTTCTAGGATTTTGTTTGGAGGGTGAAAAGAGAGCTTTGATCTATGAGTTCATGCCTAATGGATCTCTAGACAAGTTCATTTTCAAAGAAAGCACTTCAAAGGACAATAAGCACTTGGAAAGGGAAAGGCTATATAGTATTCCAATTGGAACAGCACAAGGGCTTGAGTATTTGCACTGTGGATGCAACACAAGGATTTTGCATTTGGACATAAAACCTCAAAACATTCTTCTTGACAAGGAATTTTGCCCAAAGATTGCTGATTTCGGGTTGTCAAAACTATGCACTAGAGAAGATAGCATTGTGTCATTGTTGGAGGCTAGAGAGACAATTGGGTATATCGCTCCAGAGGTCTTTAGAAGAAACTATGGGGTTGTTTCACATAAATCAGACATCTATAGCTATGGAATGATGGTTCTTGAAATGGTTGGAGGAAAGAAGAGCCTTCAAACAGGGGCAAGTGCTAGCAGTGAGTATTTTCCCAATTGGATCTATAGGCATCTAGATTTTGCTGATGAACTTGGATTGCAAGGACTTAAGTCCAGAGTAGAAACTGATATCGAAAGGAAAATGATATTGGTAGGACTGTGGTGCATACAAACAAAACCATCCGACAAGCCATCAATAAAGAAGGTGATTGAGATGTTGGAAGGAAGTGTGGAAGGTTTGCCTATTCCACCCAAGCCTTTTCTTTCTTCTCCTTCAAGACCTCTCCTTGATTCATCGGCCATTTTAGGTTGTGATAATGTACCATTAGTAGATTAATTTTGTGTAGCTTTGGTTTATCACTTTGCGTCCATCATAAAAAGAATTTGTGCTAATAAATTATTGATATTGTAAATTTGCAACAATACAGGGCTTATACTTGATTTGAAATCAAAACATTTTACTTTTAGGTTTAAGTACCATTTTGGTCCCTCAACTTTTCACTTTGACACCAAAATTGTCCCTCAACTTTAAAAAGTACCAAAATTATCCTTAAACTTTCATTTTTGGTACCAAAATGGTCCTTCCGTCAGTTAAATGACAGGTGGCACGTTAAAATGACAGCAAATCAATTCTTCTTTTTTTCTTAATCAATGACATGGAAAAAAAAAGTATAGTTGGCCATTTTTTTATGAGTTGGCATTTTTATTTAATTTAAAAGTAATAATTCTTTTTTTTTTCACCCACGTCAGATTTCTTCTTCCTCTTCTTCCTTTCTCCTTCTTCTTCCTTTCTTAAACCCAGATTTGGGTTTTTCTCAAACCCAGGAAAAAAAAATAATGTGTTTACTTTTGCTCATTCTTCTTCTTATTCTCTCTCTTTCTTCTCCCTTCTTCTTCCTTTCTCAAACTCAAATTTGGGTTTTTCTCTCAAAACTCAAATTTGGGTTTTTCTCTCAAAACTCAAATCTGGGTTTTTCTCTCAAACCCAGATCTAGGTTTTTCTCAAACCCAGATCTGGGTTTCATCACATAAATTAACGATCTAATGAAGCTGATGATAATAAAAAAAGCAATACAAATCATTCCATCATATTAAACAAGGCACATCTGCGGAAAAGTTGCCATATCATCTCTTCTTCCTCTTTCACTTTCTCTCTCTTGTTACTTCTTCTTCCTCTCCAAATCAAACCCAAATCTGGGTTTTTCTCAAACCTAAATAACTCCTCCGACACCACTGAAACACAACAAAAGAGAAACTAAATCACAATCCAACAAAAAAACCTCGAATACACGCATTCGAATTTCACCAAATCAAGACAAATCACGTGGATGCGAATAAATCAAAAAGAAACAGTACCGAACCACCGCAGACTCGATCTGTAGCAAACCATAACCCAAAGTGCTAGCGAAATCAGCACAGAAACCAGCGAGAACTGATTTAAAGAGAACCAAAAATTCTAGCTCCATCAAGACAAAGAAAAGTAGCAAAATCAGGACCAAGAATTAACCATAAAAGTTCGAAAAAACAGAACAAAAATGAAGCTCTAACCAGTGGCTAGCTCGTTCTTGAGAGAAACAGAGATTCTCCACAAACAACCACAAACAATTGCTGCATAAAAGAAACAAAGAAACAAAACCAAAAACAGAAGAAGTCGACCTTGGTGGAGAGACAAGCACCCGAGGCAATGGCAACGATTGTGACGGCGACGTGAGTGATGGTGGAGGTGATGGCGCCATGGATAGCGAGGATAACACCGGAGGAAGCAGCAGTGATGGCGTTTAAAGAAACAGAAATTGTGAATCTGATTCTGCTTAATTATCTAAGCTGGGAGACACCCAGATCTGGGTTTGAGAACTGGGTTTTTCTCAAACCCAGATCTGGGTTTTTTTCAAACAACCCTAGAACAAAATCCTCAGAGGCATAACTGTCGGCATGATCATGTCCCTCCCCAGGCGAACCTGACCCGTTTGAGTTATGCGCACTGGAATTTGACCCGGCATACTGGCGCTCTTCCGGATCAACCCGTCCGTCAAGCGCACCTCGAAGAGCTTGACCTCGCAGTTGGGGCATGTCTTGGAGTTGTGTCCGTTGTGGCTGCAATGCGAGCAGCGCCGGCTCATTTTTGGGTCCGAGCTCGGCAGATCGAGGAAGGGGCAGAGGGGTGAGAGAGAAGAAGGGAGGAAGAAGAAGAATAATAATAATATCGTAATTTATGTGGGTTTTTATTTAAATAAAGAAAAAATGCCACATGTAAAAACAAAAATGCCATCTCGTCAAATAACGTTACGTGGATTTTCCATGTAATTATTAATTTTTTTTAAATGTAATTTTGTGGCAAGATAACGTGCCACCTGTCATTTAACTGACGGAAGGACTATTTTGGTACCAAAAATGAAAGTTTGAGGATAATTTTGGTATTTTTTAAAGATAAGGGACAATTTTGGTACCAAAGTGGATAGTTGAGGGACCAAAATGGTACTTAAACCTTACTTTTATTAGAAAAAATTATTATTGAACTATTTAGAACATTAATAATATTTACAAACATTAAAAATAATAATATATGCTTGTCATTAAATAGTAATTTCAAAAGTATAAAAATCATAAAAATTTACATCAAGCTAATGTAGCTGGTAGCCTTAAACTTTGTTTGGCAACACTTTTTCATACTTTAATTTTTGGTTTTTATATTTTTTTTATTGTTTTCAAAATATATAAAATATTAATTAAAATAAATATTAAATGTATTTTTAAATATTAAAAACCAAAAAATCTACAATTTTAGTTGTAACTTAGTACTCCTAAACCAAGTCTTAGTTGTTTAAATTAGTTAAAAATATTAAAACTTGAAACTATATTATAAATATAAGATTATTAACCAACAAATTAAATAAAAATAATTTTTTAAAAAAAATCTGATTTAAAGAAGTTAAATGTTTTATTTTTCATTATTGATAAATTTCTAATTACTTTTTCTATTTTGATATCTAAATGTGCCTCAAAAGAAAATACTAAAATAAGCCTCAAGGGCTACCAAAAGCCTCCTAATTCTTATATTAAATGAGTATTTATAAAATTTTAAAGAGTTTAATTAGAATAGAAGTGGGACATGCCTTAAAATAATAAGAAATTGGCCAAGGGTTGCTGAAAATTGCCTAAGGGATCGACTCCTCAATTTGAAGTGCGGACACCTTTAGTAAATCGGTGAATAGAGACCGTGTCGGACTTTTCGGCCGAAATGCAATTTTGTTTAATGGCAAAATGACAGTACTGGTCCCTGACTTGTTTCTGTGCACGTTAATCCTCAGGTGCCTCATCTCTGCAGTTTGTTCCTAAAAGTTATGTTTTCTTCCAATTAAATCCTTTTTTTTTAACAAAAAAAAAAAAGAGAAAACTTTGTAAAATCAAATAAAATTTCATAAAACTCATTTAAATATTGATAATAATATTAAAGGAAAAATTCTACATTAATGGAAAAATGCTATATTAATATATGTAAAATTTCATAGTAAGTATTCATGATGAGATCTTTAACTTGCCTAAAGTGTGATTACTATAAAATTTTCAGTCAAAATCAATTTTTTATCAATGCAGGTCTTTGTTGAAAATTTGGTACGACAAGCATAATATATATGCTAATT